GTTCTGTCATCAAATACCCAACGCTGAAGAAAAACCCAATTCATTTTCAGTCAAGTCCCAATATTGGGTTGGCCAATCAGGCTCGTTCTAGGTTTCTTAAGCTATTTTAGAACCAACCCACTTCTTAAAACCCCATCTTCTCTGGTTTTTCTGAACTTTTTTTCTCTACATATTTCTGTCACATACACTAAGACACAAATCCAAGTGGGTTTTCTTAATACAATCATATAACAACAACATTATAACAAAAATCAAAAAACAATAGATTCAATAATATCACATCAATTTCAAATCTCACTTGGAAAGAGGAAGGGGGAAGGGTTTATGTGTGAGTGGGTGTGGGCAGCCGGGGAGGAGAGAAAGAGACGGAGAGGGGGAGACAGAGAGAAATACCTTGAATATCGGTGGCGTCGGAGCTTGGCTGCTGCACTGGTGCTTTCAAAGGGCCGAATCTATGGTGGAAGTTCGAATTTACTAAATTGAGTTTTTGTCTTATGTGGTTTTCTACGGAGAGAGAGAGAGAGAGAGAGAGAGAGAGAGAGAGAAAATGAAAAAAGAGGTGTGATTGAGAGAGGAGACTGAGCGAGGGAGAGAGACATGGTATGAGTGAGAAAGAGGGAGATCAACAATAGAAGTCTAGAGTTGGGGGAGAGATGAGCAGTGATAGATTGGGAGAGAGAGATAAGCCGTGACAAATTAGGAGAGAGAGAGAGAGAGGCGTGAGTGAGGAAATCTTCTTAGGCGGGAAAACAAAATTCAGGACTAATCGTTGACCGTCGAATCAGTATTTATGTGATGATCTGAACCTTCTTTTATGTTGGGGTTACGTTGTCTGTTGGATTTGTTTATGTTTTGTCTCAAAACGATCTGGACCTCTCTTTGCCTTTTGGATTCAAACTTCGTTCTACTTAATTATATAGATGTATCATGTACATTATGTAGGTCATGATTAGTGAGTTTTTGTTGTGTTTAGCGACGTTCAAGTCCACCTTTTTATTTGAAAGGTCTAAATAGAACACCTGTTTATCAACCGCATACACTAAGGTTACACCCAAATCCCTTAATTCTATGTACATTTCTTATTGGATTTGTAAATCATATTGTACATTGCCTGATCTAGTTAAAATTGGGACCCCACAAAAAATTTTAAGCGATTTTAAAAATTATTTTTGGGACTCCTAAATTTATCCGTTCATTTGAAGGACCTAGGTGACAACCTTAATGGCATATGCCTAAGGCCGACATGATTTAGGACCAACTTAGCCACTCAAAATTCATACAAAGTTTCTTGAAATTTGGTTAAGTATTGATGCAGGAAAAAGTGTAAAAACACAAATTTAGTAAACAAGAAGGGATAATAAAACTAAATCGTTGATTTATACACAAATATTGATTTAGGATCCTACTTTAGGCATGTTGATTCACAAAGAATACTAATCCTAAATGCTTCAATAAATCTGTGGATTGCGAAGAATACTAGAAAAATTGAAAAGAAAAAAGAAAATTTTCTCAATTGTATTCAATAATCGAAAGGAATATTACATTTTGTACTATGAAAGATTTTAAAATTTTTATTTTACACCCTCAATGTATCAAAAGTATTACAATATAACCCTTCTGGTAGGTTTCCGTTAATTTTTTTCATCAGTGTAAATGGGTTCACTTTTGACAAAAAAAATAATGGAAGCTAACAAAAAGATCATATTATAATATTTATGATACATTGAGAGTGTAATGTAAAAAATTTAATTTTTGATAATATAAAGTGAAAATCTTGAAATTTTTAAGAGTATAAAGTGAAAATTTTAAAATCTTTCAGGCTCCAAAATGCGAAAAGCCCATAATCAAAAACTATCGAACCCTAAGGCTTCCAAGTGAAAGAAACTCTAAAATCAATTAGAAAGTAATAAAATATGGTCTAATTATTGTTAATTACATAATTAAGTTATTATTATAGATTTTACCTGAAAAAGAAAGTTTTAAACTAATTATACGGTTAAAAACTACTAATCACCAAGATCAAAGCTGAATTGATTGTTAGGAGTGCAAGGAGATCATTTTGCATTTCTAACTTGGACATGAGAAGTATTTTAAAATCCGGCCCAGCCAAACGAGTTGACCCAAAAAATTGGTGAACCGGTCATTACACCGGGCCAGATAGTGTATTAGGTCATTTGAACACAAAATCTTGTAAAAACTCATTAAACCGGATGGTTCTTGCCAAAAACCGCGGAATCGGACGGTTCTTAATAACCCGGGCGGCCCTAATCGTAATCTTCTGCCGCTCGTCTCTCTCTCTCCCTCCCTCCCTCCGTCGAACGTCAGTTGAACTCGAACTCGAACGAATCAGCCTCTATATCAGTCGAATGAATTATCGAACAAATCAACCATCCCTCTCTCAGTCGAAGTGTCAGCCAAAAGAAGGCAGTACCTTCTCCTTCACGTGACAGGTACTTTCTCACTCATCTCTCTCTCTCTCTCTCTCTCACCAGTGATTGTTGCTTCTATTTGCCAATTTCTATTTAATTATTTTGTGAATATTTTATTTGAGTGAAAAAATTATAAATTTTTAGCTTATTTTTCGTTATTGTTCAGATGAAGTTTGGAAGGTCCATTCTTCAACTTCGATTTTGTTGTTGTTCAAATGCTGTTCAAGAGGCACATCCTTCCTACTTGCTAGATTCACTTATCTCTTTCCTATATCTCTGCTTTTTTGTTCCATCTGTTTTGCTATATTTTTCATTTGTGTTTGTTGTAGTTGATGAATCTTGAGCATTTGATAATATTTTAATTCTTTAATTGATTTGATGTGGATTAACTCTACTATTTTAATACTTATTATGATTTTTTTAGCATATTTATAATTAATAAAATATTTTTTTTATTATATAATCGGTTAAACTAGTGATTGAACGGTTAAACCAATAACTCATTGACCGATTCTTTGTCGGATTCGTGTCCGAATTGAGTTTTAAAACTATGAGTGCTCCAAAAAAAGTCAACATATTTAACCAACTTGAATCACCCCAATATCGATCCCAACGATCCAAGTACAGTGTAGTTATTTGATCTACATTAAGTATCAATACTGTATTAGCACATCAAGTATCCTTGAATATGAGTCAGGTATGAAGCAATAGGAATTCAAGTATATAAAATTATTAGTTATTGTTTGTGTCTGCAGGCACAGATTAATAAAAAATAGTAAATAATAAACATATTTGTATTCATATTCAAAATCAAATCACAAGTATGGAGAAGAGATAAAAAAATTTAAGCATTAGTTTACAGTGGAGGTGAGAGGTGGTGGGCGACAGTGGTGGTGGTATGAGACGGTGATGGCTGTGGTGGGTGACAATGACCGTGGTGGCGGTGAGGGCGATGGTGGTGGTGGTGGTGGCAGTGGAGGTGATAGCGGCGGTGGTGGTAGAGATAATGGTGAGACGATTTCAAAAACTATTTTTTTTAAGTATTTATGAGAAATTATAAGTATTAAAAGTATTTTTAAAAAGTCACTCCAAACATACCCTTAAAAATTTATTTTTGCTATTAAATTTAAAATGTTAATATTAGCCGTTAAATTAATTTTAAAGTAAAATTTAAAGCAATTTCAACCACAAATAACAAAAGTCATTTTATTTATCTTTTGAAATTTGAATTATAAGCTATTTTATTATATAGATAAACTAGTTATTACATGTGGCTGAAGGCACAAAATAATAAAAAATGGTAAATAATAAACATATTTGTATTTATATCCAAAATCAAATCACAAAACATAAATAAGAGATAAAAGAATTTAAGTATCAGTTTGTAGTGGGGGTGAGAGGTGGTGGACGACAGTAGTGTTGGTAGGAGACGGTAATGGTTGTGGTGGGTGGCAATGACTGTGGTGGCGACGAGGGCGACGATGATGGTGGTGGCGGTCATGGCAGTGGCGGTCGTGGCGGCGATGGCGATGGTGGTGGCGACGGCGGTAGTGGTGACGATGGTGGTGGTGGTGGTGGTGGTAGATGTAGTAGTGGAGTGGTTTCAAACATTAATTTATTTTTTAAAAAGTATTTATGATAAATAATTTCTAAAAGTAATTTTAAAAAGTCACTTCAAACACATGTTTAGGAGTCTATTTTTCTTATTAAATTTAGAGTGTTAATATTAGCCATTAAATTAACTTAAAAGTAAAATTTAAAACGATTTCAACTGCGAATAGCAAAATTCATTTTGTTTATTTTTTGAGATTTGAATTGTAAGTTACTTTATTATATAGATAGGTCGGTAATGAGTTAAATAAATTTTGAAACAACATAACACTGATCGACTCATTGCCATTAATTCCATCCAGCAAAATATTTTCTCAAAGTTTTCCATCGTCCACTAGTCTCTGTCCTGTTTCTTCCTTGAAAGATTCATGCGCCAACCATTAAAGAATGGGTGCTGAAGTCTTCGTCCCAAATTTGTACGTGTTCTTAATTTCCAAACCATTTAGTTACCTCAGGGTTCGGTTTTCATGCGAGAGCTGTCTGGGTCCTCCTCCTCTTCATGTTGAAAACATGATTGATCAAGACCATTCATTCTTATAGTCTAGGCATGAAAACTCAAGCGGCAATATAGACCTCGCAAGCGAATAATCCGTTGGGCTCACTACAATGACAGTTGGAGATTGATAACACTGAACATGTTCCGTCAATAATATTGGAGGCCTAAAGCAAAAATTTAAAGGGTCCCTAATTTTTTAAGTAAAGATTATTTATTTATTTTTTGTTTTGAATTTCCTCTTGATTCATACCTTTTAAGAGGAAAAACTAATTGAAAGCAAAATAAATACTATATAAATGAATACATTAAGATCAAAGAGAGGAAATAAACTTTTGTAATCATAAAACAAACAAAACTTATTGTTGTAACAAAGTAATAATCTTTTTCTAACATTATCACAGTGACACAATTAATAGACCTTCGTGAAAAAAGAAATTTAGGCAAAACATGTTAGTTTTGCACGACGAATAATTAACATTTATACCATAAATTAGAAGATAGAAATTCAAGACCATAATTTCCTTCATGGATAAAAACCTGCGCCGATGTATTAGTCGCTCGAGAAAAAGTCCAAGTTCAGCTTGTGTGGTTCCCTCTCGCTGTGGAAGACTTGTGTAATGTGTAGAAGTCCAATTTTTTTGTTCATGTCTGCACTGACCAAAGAAAGGAAAAAAAAAGGTTCATGTCTGCGAATTACTCCATAATATAGCATTTTTCTTTTAGATTGATGCCAAATATCAAAGGTATAGGACATTACAGAACAATGAGCTGTCTTTTCTCTATGCTTTTTTATGTTTGCTCGTCTTGTTTGTTGTGGATTCTCTCTGTTTCAGCTGATACAATCACTCCAAACCTCTCTCTTAGTGATGGCAAGACCTTAATTTCAAAAAGTGGAGGCTTTGAACTGGGTTTTTTCAGTCCAGGTAGTTCCAAGAACCAGTACTTGGGAATTTGGTACAAGAATATCCCAGTCCGAACTGTCGTTTGGGTGGCCAACAGGCAAAGCCCAATCAAAGATTTGTCCGGCACATTGATGTTCAACAAAACAGGCAATCTTGCTCTCGTCAGTCACAAAGATGGTGTCGTTTGGTCGTCGAATTTACTGAAACAAGTCCAGAATCCAGTGGCACAGCTATTAGATTCTGGAAATTTTGTCATCAGAGAAGAAAGAGAAAGCAATTCAGACATTTATGTGTGGCAGAGCTTTGATCATCCATGTGATACGTTGTTACCAGGTATGAAACTTGGATGGGACTTAAGGGTTGGTCTGAACAGACGGCTATCTTCATGGATGAATTTCGAAGACCCTTCACCTGGAGAGCTAACTTATGGCATAGAACTTCATGAATATCCTGAGTCAGTTATGTGGAAGGGCTCAAAAATATACAGTAGAAGTGGCCCCTGGAATGGCCTTCGATATAGTGGTACTCCTAACTTAAAGCCCAATCCCTTGTATACATTCAACTTTACCTCTAATGAGGAGGAGGTGTACTACACATATCAGCTCAAGAATGGATCTGTAATCACAAGGCTTGTTTTGAACCAAACCACCTCTAAGCTAGAGCGCTCTGTTTGGATTGAATCTGAGCAGATTTGGAAGCCATATTTCTCAGCGCCACTAGGCTATTGTGACAATTATGGTCTTTGTGGTGCCAACGGAATATGTGACATTACTGGCTCACCTGTTTGCCGGTGTTTGAATGGATTCAAGCCAAAATCACTGGAAAGATGGAAATTGATGGAGTGGTCACATGGATGCATACGCGATAAGCCTCTGAGCTGCCAAAGTACGGAAGGCTTTGATAAATTTGAAGGCGTGAAATTGCCAGATACTACTAATTGTTGGGTGAACAAAAATTTAAACATTAGTGAATGCAGGGACAAGTGCTTAAAGAATTGCACTTGCATGGCTTACACAAACTCTGATATTAGAGGAAATGGCAGTGGTTGTGCAATCTGGTTTGATGATCTGACTGATATTAGCCAGGTTTTTGCTGGCGGAGACGTTTTGAACATAAGAATGCCGGCTTCAGGCTTAGGTATTTGTCTTTCTTTTACTTCAGCTCTGCTTGAAGTGCATTTTACTGAATTCTATAGATTATCAGTCGATTTTGTCTGACATAAATATAATTGTTTGCTTTTGCAAGGGACAAACAATGAGGCTAAAGGGAAAGCGGATCTTGGAGGAAAAAAAGATGGAACAAAATGGGTCATACCAGTTTGTATAGGAATTTCTGGGATACTTATTCTCAGCTATTGCATTTGGATGGGCAGGACAAGAACACAAGGTAAAATCTTACAGTACTCAGATGCTCATTCCCACCAAGCTTCTAATGGAGTTATTTTGTGGAACTTCTTTCTTATTCTTATAACTAAGAAAAGATGAATAACTCTGTTTTTCAGTTTTGTTTTCTGAACAGAGAAGCTATTGTGATTGCAGTGTACAAATCTTGCATTGGTGGAAAATAAGTGAGGGGACAAACTACACTTAGAACCTTTGAACTATGCCCCTAATTTTACATTACCCATCAAACTATCAAGTATTTTCTTTTTGCATTTTAAACTATTAGTTAGCATTTCACAATAAATCAGTTAAAAACAAAATCCCAACAATGGTACCGTAAATTTACTTTTCAAGAATGTGACATGTGGAAAGTTTTCTTATATTTTTATTTCACTCTACTTTATCATATCGCTTGCCCTGTACCCTTTAAATAATATAAAACACACACACACACATATATATGCACATTACAACATTGCACATTACACATTGTATACGAGCATAATGTTTTAAGATAGGACCTTCAACATTGGATAAACTATATGATGGCGCAACCATTGAACGGTTGGACCGATATGATGGGACCTAGGAGCCTGGGCGGAAGGCAAAATGTTTTTGGTCCAAAGGGAAATACACGAAGTAGATTTGTTAAAATTTTTATTTGATACTTTTTGTTATTTATTATTAAAATTTTTAGTAAAATAGTATCTATCAGATTAAGACTACTAGGGATAAACAAAGTAGCAGAGTAGTTTAGTTAGGCACGACACTAGGTCTATAAATAAGGATATAATTCCATTATTTTGATTAGAGTTGAATTTTAATTTGAGAATTCTATGTGAAAAAATTGTGTTTCTTGATCTAATCTTTGCGAGAATTCGGTAATCCAATCTTCTTCCCTTCCCTCCTTGCATCCCTGCATATTAGATTTTATGAAAATATTCAATTCTAAATAAACTTGAAAGTAGAGTCGCTCAAGTTTTCTATATTTCTTAATCATATCTTTTTTGGGAAGAACATTATTTCGTTATAGGATAAATATCATAATTAATTCCTAAATTTTGTCTCTTATTCCAAAATGGTCCTTGAACTTTAGATTATAGTAATTTTGTCCCTCAACCATCAATTGCGGGTCGATAAAGTGGTTCCATTTATTTTACCGGTCTGAAAAAATTAAAGACGCATGACGTGAACAACCACATGACAAACATATATGTTTGTCTAATTTGTTCTAAAAGTTAAAATACACAAAAGGATTATTTTAGTAGTCTAAATTATTAGTTGAAGGGCTAAACTGACACAGTTGAAAGTTTAGGGACCATTTTAAAATAGTCGGAAAAGTTTTAGACTAATTGTAACATGTACCCTTGATTATATATTTCTTATATTTTAAGCTTTTAAGAAAAGAAATTCATTTTTTAAATGTGGTTTAATTCAAATACTGTAATTGCCCACCTATATTCATACAATACCACTTGTTTACTTTATTTTATTTATTTTCTTGGTGCTCTCTGTAACAAGTATTGAGTCGTTGTTTATACTACAGCTAACAATGGTCATAGAGAAGAAAGTTCGAATGAAGATTTGGATTTACCATCATTTGACTTAACTGTTGTATCTATCGCTACTGATAACTTTTCAATAAACAACAAGCTTGGAGAAGGTGGTTTTGGACCTGTTTTTAGGGTAAGTTTGCTATATGCTAATGACCAAAGGATGTTAAAAAACAGTAAATAATTCAAGAATCTTTATTTTTGTAATTGATAATTTTCAGGGAACTTTATTAGATGGCCAAGAAATTGCTGTAAAGAGGCTTTCAAGGAATTCTGGACAAGGATTGACTGAGTTCAAAAATGAAATATTATTGATTGCCAAACTTCAGCATCGAAATCTCGTAAAGCTTCTTGGTTGTTGCAGTCAAGGAGGAGAGAAAATGTTGATTTATGAATACTTACCCAACAAAAGCTTGGACACCTATATTTTCGGTTTGAATCTAAAAAAACTAACAACTTCAATTGTATTGGTGTATTTCTTGTTTTCTTAGTTTTAATGGTTGTCATGAGAATTGAAGTTGGGGAAGAGACTAATTTGTTAAATGGAAAATTTACCAGATAGAACAAGAGGTAAATTGTTAAATTGGTCAAAACGTTTTCACATCATCTGTGGAATTGCTCGGGGACTTCTTTACCTTCATCAAGATTCAAGGCTTAGAATAATACACAGAGATCTCAAAGCAAGTAATGTGTTACTTGATAATGAGCTAAACCCGAAAATATCAGACTTCGGGATGGCTAGAATTTTTGGAGAGCAAAGCGAAGGAAATACAAGTAGAGTGGTTGGGACATAGTATGTCTAATTGTCTATAACCCTTTTTTTTTTTCTGAATACTATGATCTCTTTAACTTATCTGACTTTTAATGCTTCAATGTAGTGGTTATATGGCACCAGAATATGCTTTTCATGGGTTGTTCTCGGTAAAATCTGACGTCTTCAGTTTTGGTGTTCTGTTGTTGGAGATAATAAGTGGGAAGAAGAACAGAGGGTATCTTTCAAACTACCGCCACAATCTTATTGAACTTGTAAGTGTTGTGATTATGGTATTTTCATGTGTTCAAAATGTACGATATTGAACCAAAAATGAGCTTAATTTGTTTTAGGCATGGAGATTGTGGACTGAAGAGAGGGCACTCGAACTGATAGATACATTAGTTGAGGACTCGTGCATTTTACCTGAAATATTCAGATGCATCCATGTGGGTCTCTTGTGTGTGCAACATCTTCCAGAGTATCGACCAAACATGTCATCAGTGGTTCTAATGTTGAGCAGCGAGAGCGTATTGCCTCAGCCGAAGCAACCAGGTTTCTTGATAGAAGTACATAATGAAGCTCATCCCTCATCAAGCAACAATGAATCTTGTTCAGCCAATGAGATGACTGATACATTTTTGGAGGCTCGTTAGCAGAACGGACTAATCAGCACTGTTAAATAAGTAATAGTTTGCTATTTCAGTCTTTGAAAGTTCATCATCTATTCGAGTCTGATATGTTCGGCTGAGTCATATCCAATTTGTGGAACTTTCAGTCCAATACCATTTTATGTTTTATGTAAATCACTTGTCTCATTTGACTCGTGGTAAACTCCGAAACGTCTCAATCAATTCGGTTAGATCGAGTCATTGTCATAAACTCGAAGTGTATCAACCCTTAGAGTTATGCTACGTTGTGATATGACTTGAATTTTTTATAGTGTTCAAACGCTTTTTTATCCATTATTTTGTATGCATCGTCTGATATTATTCTATAATGTCATCATTTATGTGTCTCGGTACTCTCCGGATCAATTATTAATATTACCATATTGAACTAAAGGGAAGAGACAACATTTTTTAGTGGACACCCACCACCACCAAACCCTCCTCAATTCTATCACAAATCTCCTCATTTTCTTCTAAAAATTGTGAAAGTAGGTGCCCAAAATCCAGAAATTGACATATGAACAATCTGCTAACGAAGTGAAGGGGGCAAAGATCAAATCAATGCTAAAAACTCCTAAATAAGACACTGTCTAAGAGAGCTAAGAGGGAGATAGAGGAAAGAATTTTCGGCCACACAACTTAGGCCCTCTCTCTTCCCTCACCTCCATCCTCCACGCAATCAGTGCTTTTTTTTTTTTGGTTATTTTCAAATCATTTTTGGTAATGAATATGCAATAGCTTTTCCCCAAATTTTCCCAAACTTGTCAATATTTCTCAGCATTTGTAATCAATTCTTTGGTCAATCTGTGTATTTTGTTTTCCAAAAGAGAGGTCCCATGTTGAAAAAATAGAAACCGTGTTGACTTGAGCTTTCTAATTGAGATCTCTAATTTTCCTCCTTCATTTACATACAAATATAGAGAAAGGAGAGGATAAATGTAATAATATTTCAAATTTAAAATATATATAATATTAGATTTTAGGTTAATTTGTGATATTTTTTAGAAAGGGATGTCAATGTATTTAATGAATTTGAGGAATTGTAGGGTTTCTTTTTCTTTGTATACATATATATGTAAGCAGTCAAAATAGGGCAAGATAGAAAAAAAATAAGAAAAAAGAAAGAAAGACAGTGAAAGCTTAGAAAAGAAAGGGACATAGAAACAGAGATACTGAGAGAGAAAAGGAGGAGGAAAAAGATAGAAAAAAAGGGACTTGAACTCATCCAATGTATGAATTTATTACTTAATTTATGAGTTTTATATTCTATTCAACTATATGGTATTAGGTTTATTATAAATAGTGATAATAGTGATAATAAATAAATATATATATATATATATATATATATATATATATATATATATATAAATGAATTTTATTGAAAGTTGCTAATTTAGGTGTTTTAGACTTAATTCAGATTGGTTGATGTTGTGACTTGTAAATAATTTAATCATAAAAAGAAGAAGAAAAACAAAGAAAGGTGCATAACCAACTTTCGTAGGTCGAAGGTGACGAGATTCGGGAAATTATGGAAACTTCCTTTTTAGTTGTAAATAGCTTTAATTTGACCTCTATATTCTTCTAAATTTTATTTTTAATCATTATTTTATTTGGTAAGTTGGAAGAATAGAATTTTGGAAGATTTGTGACAGTCCCAAAAAGATAAAATTCGTTTTTAAGAAAATTATATTTTGACCTCAAAAGTTTCAAAAATTATGACTTGACCTCAAAATTTTAGAAATTTTTTTTTTCAAACAGCCCAGAATACTTTCATACCCTATTACGTCGTATTAGAAAAGATATTTATATGTAAGAAGTATAAAAATATAAAATATATAATTGTGAAACAACGAAGTTAAGAATTGAAATTGATTGATATATGTTATTTTGGATTAGGTGGTGATTGCATTGAAGTTGGAAAATAGTACTTTGAATCTAATTTTGGGAATCAAGGTGAGTAGTTTATTACTTCTTTTGAGAGGATTTTCTATATTAAATGTGTGGGTGCGTGAGTGTAGATTTTTCATGTATGTGATATATGTGTTGATGTTTAGAGTTGCAATTAAATGTTTTGAAATGGTTAACTGTTCTACATGTGAATTTTGAAAAACTTGTGGGATGATTTTATGCTATTGCTTTGGTGATGAAAGAGAAATTTGATGTTTGCGTTAAGACTAAAACTACAGTTTTGGTATATGTGAAAATCATGTTTATGAGACGGGAACTGAGGTTACCAGGTCTAAGTGGTAACAAGCGATTGGGTCAGTCATCAGGCTGGTGATGACAAGAGACTAGGTCAATTACCAAGCTAGTGGTGATAAGAGACGGAGACAGTTATCAGGCTAGTGGTAACAAAGTGACTAGGCCATTTATCAGAATAATGATAACAAACATGATTTGACAAATATATTTGAGACTGAATGTCTGTGTGAGTGTTTTAAGTTATAAATGTCTTTTCATTTATAAAGTTATGTGTGAAAATGAGTGAGTGTTTGAGTTATAAATGTCTTTTCATTTATAAAATTATTTGTGATCATGAGATCATTTGTTTACATGATTACATAGGAGGGATTGGGGTACAATTTGTTGTACTTATATATGCATCAAAATTTATTTTTGTATACAAACTACGGGATTTATTTTCACACTTCATTAGAGGTGGTTGCTATTCACGGGTCTTTGTACTCATCCAAATATTTTAACATTTTTCAGGTGAGGATCAATGGGAGGAGTAAGTCCTCGGATAGACAAGGGATTAGAAGAATTGAAGATTTATTTTATTATAGGTTTTCAGGAATAAATGTCTTTTGTAGTTTCGAAACAAATGTTTAATTGTTTTGGGAATAATATTACTGATGTTTAGAGTAGTGAATCTTATAGTTTAATTATTATCTTCAATGGATTTAGTAATGACGTTGGTGATATTTAGTTTATTCCTCTGGTATTCATTAGGTCGGTGGAATGAATCACGTTATTATTTGTCTTCCACTGTATTTTGCATTTATTATACACAAAGTTGGTTGGTTAAGACTTTGGTGGCCGGTCCATCGCCCACCCTATGTGATCCGGGGCGGGGGTGTGACAAGTTTGGTATCAGAGCATATGTTTATGAATTACCAAAGGATTAGGTTAGATTTGAATGGTTGTGTAGGCTTTAATAGGTTTTAGTTCGAGAGATACAAAATGATGTTAATAGTTGATAAAATGATTTGCGTAGTGACTAAGACTAGTTAATTTGTTTGGTATTTTATACAAACAAGAGATAGTTGCAAAAAGGGATGGTAAGGGTATTATAAGAAATGTGACTGACACTAATAAAATTTTAGGGTTTATATATTCTTCCGTGTCTCCTAGAGTAGCAGTGTGAAACCCAAAACACTTGAGTTTAATTTTGACCGTGGTAATTCCTACGGATGGTTTTGAGTTAGGTGATTTCGTCGCCCACCCTATGTGATCTGGGGTAGGGGTGTGACAATAAAGAGGAGGATGATTATGATGAAAAATGAAAGAGGAAAAGGGAGAGGGAGAGATGGGAGAGAGTCTGAGCTAAAGGGAGGATACTGCAAGTAAAATTGGATGGAATAATGAGGGTATTTTGGTATTTTTATAGCTTTTGAGACGAAAGTTTAGTTTTGCACTTTGATTAAAAATTGAGGGAGGTTTAACACAAAAGTTCAAAGTGGGAGGAGGTCGTCAAGTTTTTTTTGCATTTACGAATATTAGGTGAGAGATAAGTAGCCACCCAATTGATTTTAATTGTGATACATTAAAAGTATTGTAAGAGGAAACACTGCATAAAAATAGGCCAAACTCAAAAAAATATAAAAGTAATATAAAGAAAGTCAATTCTCATTTATAATTTTACGCACTTGTACCTTATGTAGGTCATGATTAGCGAGTTTGTATTGTGTTTAGGGTCGTTCGAGTCCACTTTTTTATTTGAAAGGTCTAAGTAAAACACCTATTTGTCAACCACATGCCCTAAGGTTACACCCAAACCCCTTAATTCTATGTACATTTCTTCTTGGATTTGTAAATCATATTTTACATTGTCTGATCTAGTTAAAATTGCGACCCCCAAAAATTTGTAGGCTGTTTTAAAAATTATTTTTAGGACTCCTAAATTTGTCCATTCATTTGAGGGAACTAGGTAACGACCTTAATGGCAGATGCCTGAGGCCGACATGATTCATGACCAACTTAGCCGCTCAAAATTCATATCAAGTTTCTTGAAATTTGGTCAAGTATTGATGCAGGAAAAAGTGTAAAAACACAAATCTAGTAAACAATAAGGATAATAAACTAAATTGTTGATTTAGACACACATATTGATTTAGGATTCTAGTCTAGGTATGTTGATTCACAAAGAATACTAGTTCTAAATGCTTCAATAAATCTGTTGATTTTGAAGAATACTACAAAAATTGGAAGGAAAAAAGAAAACTTTCTCAATTGTATTCAATAATCAAAAGAAAAATTACACTTTATACTATGAAAGATTTTAAGATTTTCACTTTACACCTTTAATATATCAAAAATTTTACAATATGACCTTTCTATTAACTTTTTTTGTCAATGTCAATGAGTTCACTTTTGACGAAAAAATAAGAAAAGTCAACAAAAAGGCTACATTACAATACTTATATACATTAAGGGTGTAATGTAAAAAATTTAATTTTTCATCGTATAAAGTGAGAATCTTGAAAATGTTTAACGGTATAAAGTGAAAATCTTAAAATTTTTCGGGCGATAAAATGCGGAAAGCCCATAATCAAAAGCTATGGAACTTTAAGGCTTCCAAGAGTATAAATAGTGCAAGAAACTCTAAAATCAATTAGAAAATAACAAAATGTGGTCTAATTATTGTTAATTACGTAATTAGGCTATTATTGTAGATTTTGCCAAAAAAAAAAAAAGAAAGTTTCAAACTAATTATACGATTTAAAACTATTAATCACCAAGATCAAGGCTGAATTGACATTTAGGAGTACAAAGATATCATTTTGCCCTATTGTTTCTGACTTTGAGAAGTGATTTGAAATTCGGCCCACTCAAACTAGTTGACCCAAAAAATTGGTGAATTGGTCACTAAATCGGGCCAGATAGTGTATTAGACTATAAAGTACGGATACGGATATGGAATATAAGTACGATATGATACGGATACGGTAATACAACAAAGTTAAAAAAAATTAGATACGGGTACGGCTAAGATACAGTTATAATAAAATATATATAATATTTTTATTATTTTCAAACAACGTAACACTTATTTATTTTGATAGTTATTTAACA